TTGCACAAAGTCGTTTATATACCCCCTAAGTATTTCGTTAATAAGTCGTACGAAGGTCATGGGTGCATTTTTAAGTCCGAACGGAAGTACACGAAATTGAAACAAGCCCCTCCTCGTTCTAAACGCTGTATATTTTCGCGCGTTTTGTTCAAGTGAGCATTGCCAATAACCTGATTTTAAATCTAGTGTCGTGAATACTTTCGCCCCCCGCATACTTCTAATCATATCGTTTAGATTGGGCATGGGGTACGCGTCTGAAACGGTCACTTCGTTGAGTCGCCTGTAGTCGATGCACAAACGAGAGGAGCCGTCTTTTTTCTTGGCCAGGACGACTGGTGCCGACCAAGGCGAGGTGCTGGGTTCTATAAGTCCCTGTGATTCCATATCGTCTACCATTTCGTCTATCGCCTCTTGTTTGTGCAGAGGGTACGGGTATGGTTTCAATGCGATGGGTTTCGAGTCTTTTAGAACGATATCGTGTTCGATTAGCTTTGTACGTCCCACCGTGTTATTAAAAACCGCAGCGTATTGTTTCACTATGTGAGATAATAATTCGCGCGAATGTGGATCGCCTGCTATATCTATGTTTGGCAGATCTATACTGTGGGGGGTGCGGGGAGCGCTTGCTTTCCAGCACGCCGTAGTACGTCGTTTCGCGCCTAGATGTATTGTGCACGCAGCATAATCCCAAGAGACTTCCTGATCGGTCAGAAAATCATGCCCTAGAAGTACGTCACAGTACAGGTTGTCTAAGATCACGGCCGTAAAAGTGATTGTCAGATCTGCGATGATCGCGGTAAAAGTAGCGGTGCCGGCGGTGGGTGTCGTGTGGCCGTCTGCTAATCTAACCGCGTGTGTGGGTCCTTTGCGCACAATTCCGTATTTATGGGCTATTGCCGGGGTGGTATATGACTTCTGCGCTTGTGAGTCAAGTAATGCCGTCACAAAACCGTTGTAAAATTCAAGTTCCACAGCGGGAGTTGTAATTTTACGCGGGCGTGTTTGTTTGGCAAAACTCGGGTGGTTTACGGTTCGAACGGGGAGCGTCTGAACGGTTTGTCCGCCGGCGGTGTCAATCGCCATAAGCGGGTAGGCCGTCTCGGCTGGTATCCCCTCCCCCACGGTGGCCAGCATGTCGTTGGCCCGACTCGCGCTATCATCGCATAACACGGGGACTTTTGTTTTCTCGGCCGTATGACTAATATTTTTAAAAACCTTGAGGACCGCATTGTGCCCCTCACTGTGGGTGGGGGGTGCGGTGAGTGAATTTAGAGGGGCTACAGTTTGTCCTGCGTTGTGTGCGAGGGGCTGTAGTCGAGGTTGAGGGCCCGGTGAATGGGCGAAGTGAGGTGGAAGGTCGTTAAAAATTTCATCATTTTGGCCGAGAGGAACGCGCTCGCTTTCGCTATCGACGATGACCGAATTGGTTATTCGCGCTGCGCGTTGCGTGGTGTGTTTGTTTGTTGTATGGAATTGTGTCATTAAGCCAGAAGAACGGACTAATTTCTCCGTGGCTGTTGCCCGTTTCCCGAAACTGTCGGTCTATTAGGGCAACTGCTGTGCCAGTGATCTGCTCCGCAATATCGGCAGGGTCGGGGGGGGGGCGTTCCGCGTTAAGCGCGCTCGCCCGCTGTCGAAAAACTTGCGGTGGTTGGGGAGGCGCAGGAGGCGGTACGTACGGCTTTAAGTTGGCTTTTAGCCTACCCGTGCGTAAGGGCCTGTCGAGATCGTTCGCGATTACGCGCAAATCGTCTAGAGTACGCGGACTTCGCATTTTCACGTTGCCGTAATATTCGTCGCGTAAAAGACTAACTACACGATCTACGATCTGCTGCTCGGAACAACTGGGGCGGGCGCGCATCGCTAAACGTTGTTTATCTATAATAAATTCCGTCATACGCTGATTGGGCCCCTGTTGTGATGTCATGAGTTCGTTTTCTAGCTCGGCTTGGATGCTATTATTATCGAACGCCACGAGAAACTCCCTTGAAAATTGGCGCCAGGACATGTTGTTCAACTTAATGGACTCCCACCAAGTAAATGCCGTGTCCCTTAAAAACTGTACCCCGGTTCTCACCCACAAATCATAATGGATACCGGATTGTGTCAGGAGGTTTTCTAGCTGCTCTAGAAATTCCCTCGGGTCCTCCTCATATTTCCCCGTGAACTCAGGAGACGGAGGACGTAAAACAGGCGGATTATTATACGGTACAGTCGCCGAATGTGTATATGAACGGGTTGATGGGGACGGTGACAAATCGCGTGTCGGTGGTACGAATGTGTTTAACCCGAAATGTCCCGTGTGTTGTGGGCGCGCGTCTGAATTGAAAGCTGCTTCGTGCGTGTTCGCTCGAGGTAGTGATGGAGACGCGCGCGTGGTCTGGCCGGCTAATCGTTGTATATTGCGCGCCTCGCGCTCTTCGATCTCCGTCAAACGTTGTTGTAAAGCCGCGTTATTCTGGGTCATGCTACTCGGCCCAAACGTTACGCGGTTTTGTTCTGGCAAGTGCGCGCGATCAGTACGATTTGTGTCGGCTGTTCCTCGCGTCATTTGTGCGGTGGCGAACGGATTTAGCATGGACTCGTTGTTTAAATCGCGACTTGTAATTGTGTGTGAGAGGGACCGAATCTCCTGCGTAATGCGGGACAGTGCTCTCTCTACTTCTGACATGCGCGCTTCCATGCGTGTGTTCAAAGATACATCGCGTAAGCTCTGCCTTAACGCGCCTATCTCCTCCGTTGCGTGGGATATTGAACGTACCGTATACATGTCATCTGTATACGCTGCGTTCACACATCCGTTGTGACGGCCGGTTGCCTGGGACCACTCGTGTAGAGACCCTGTTTCGGATTCCTCTAGCGCCAGGTTAACCGGTTGATCCGCGTGTGTCGGGGGGACGACGGTCCGGCATAGCGCGGGGGCGTCGTCTATCCGTGACTCGCGTTCCGTCTCGAGCGTCTCATAGTGAAGCGGCGGGCGTTCGGGTAAAATCGCGTTCGATGGGTCTAGCCCTTCGCTGCGTAAATTATTTTCCAACACGGCTAGCATATCGCTTTTCGTTGTGGGCCCATTTAGCTGTCTATACGCGCACTCGCGCAATAGTTCCCGACGATTCATCTGAGACAAAGTTTTACCTGACATCGTGAACGTTCTTTATCGTATTTCGCGAGAATAAACAAAAATAAATAAGTAAAACGCTAGCGCTTGTTTGTTTTTGTTATTCGGAAATACAATACCATCGGTCACGAGAATACGCGCTATGTGTTCGCGTATGAACGTCAACAATGCCGGCCGTTTGTATTATTATTGTTGTTGTTGTGATACTGATATAGTATAGCACTAAGATAATGGGTTTTGTATGGGGATGACGTTACTATAATATTTATAATTTCGAAGGTCGGAAATAATAATACAAACGGTTTTATGGGCTCGGTTGTTAATGCTATATCGAACGCGTTGATACGGAGTGTATTGTGCACTACCTGTCTATCGCTGTCGTTGCAATGTGATGTGAATCAGCGGCGTCGCCTCGCGCGCGCGATAAGGAATGGTTGGGCAACAACTGGATAATCTACCTGTTAATATTAAAAATAACTAACGAAGTGGGATTATACAATTGTTGCGCTATTGACAACCTATCTATAACCGAGCGGGGAATTCGCTGCTGTCACCAGCGGACTGTGACTGAAATAACTCGAAGCACAGGGCGGCTAAGTAAACCTAGCTGTCTCTTATATAAAAAGTAAAATAAATTACAGACAAGTCAGCAAATGGTTTTCTTACCTTAATCAAAGTTAATCCAAATTAAGACCGGTTCCGATTCCCCGCCGGGGAGCCAGTTGTTACGACTAACGTCGTGGAACACAATTAACAAACACAGTTTTTATATTGTATGATAAAAGGGCGTGAAGCCGTATATTACTCTTACACAATTGTCACAAAATAGTCACAGAAATAAAGTTTATAATACACTCACTGCTAATAGTGAAAACCGACAGTATGAAAAAAAATATCGTTGGTACGACGAATTGCCTGGTAACGCTTCAAAGAAATAGATCCGTATCGTACGAGGCCACGAAGATTACTTAACGTGTATTTGCGGCGGGTCGTAGATGGACGTGCGGCACTTGCTGGACTTTGTACCGTGGCGTATCGCACGCGGTGTTAGTCAGTCAAACTACCATATGCACGTAGAAGGGCGGCGGCTGATACAGGTGTCACGGGTCGCGGGGTTCCGTGTATAGAGAACGACGCGCGGTCCGTGTCAACATTATAACTTATTGAAAAGATACGATTCAAAACAATTTTTTTTATAAATACCTATGGATATTTTTTTTTATGAAGTATATATATTTTTGTATATATAACCTTCCCACAGGGGAAAATTCGAAAAGTGATTTTTTAGAGAAAAGTTTCAAAACTCCACTTTAATAGATGAGCATACACAGAGATTGAAAACCAAATTTTTACAACTTTCTTATATATATGTCTATATTATTATATATCAGTTGAATATTTAGTTTTTTTTTTAATACAACCTTTTAACACCTTTGGTCATTGAAACAAAGTAATATATAGTTTGAAATAACGTAATGAAAACTAATTTTTCTGATTTTATATATATTTTTAGTTAAATTATTAGATTTGATGAGACTTTTGGCTAACATTTTTGAAAATTAATTTAATTTCTACATTATTATAAACGTATAGTGTATTTTAATTTTACTTTATCATAATAAAATATAAGTATAAAATTGTATTTGTATTAAAAATTCGCCTTCTTTAATAAATCAAAAATGTTTTCATACCAATACCGATTTAGCTATTTTTTACATGTTTTGACTAAAATTAATTATTATTTTTTAATGTATACTTTAATATTTACTTAAAATCCTTTTTTAAAATTAAAAAATATAAAAGTATGAATAAATCACGTGGATAGTTTATTATATATACAGTAATGTAATAAAAAATTATCATTCGTTATTCAGAATTTAATAACTAGTTTTAAAATGAAGGTAAGTATACACATTATATAATGTGCTTTATTGATATCTAAAAGATTTTTTTATTATATTATAGAATCGGCAATTAATATTTCTTTTGTTGATAATATCTAGTTTGATATTTAACGAAGGTAACTTCTATATTACATTATTTATGTCTATTAATTTTATTAATTATATATATATCAATCCATGTATTATTTAATATAAATGCTTAAAGACATTATTTGATTTAGATATGAAACTACTCTTTTAGTTGTACAGGAATATCAAATAAGAATAAAAAACTCTTTTTCTTGAAAAGTATTAAATATTTTTAATTTTCATACAGAAAAAAATTGTATAATTCTAAAAACTAAATAATAGTGGNACAATTTCATACTAAATTTAAAAACTATAATTAGTATTTATTCATATATTATATTTTAAAATCAAAGAACTACTAATCAGGATATAATTAAAGAAATAAGAGTTGATGTTGCTTTTGGAATAATCCACCAATTTCTCTAAATGAAACACTATCTACAGATTTGCATCGAAGCGTTTCTTATGATAGTGATTTTAATCACTGTCAGATATCATCTATACTTGTCTCATCTATGTCTCGTCCACACTGTGCCTCGACCCCACTGTGCTACCGTTTTTTTTTTAAAAGTGATTTCACGTATCTGTATTTACAATTTTTATGGATAAAGAAAAAACTGATTTACTTACACTATTTAATATTTATTATTGAAGTCCAAATGATGATTATTCATAGATATTGTACTTACGTGGTTAAGTAGTTAAGCCTTTATTAGTTACGTGTTATTATTTTATATATATTTTAATTTAAAGTGTAATAACACATAACATTACCAAAAAATGTAATTCAAAGTTTAAAAAAATTAATTTGGTTTATTTATATTTCATAGTTATTGCAATCTAGATAAATAAATCAATAAATTAAATAAATCTAGTCAAAATAATCAACTTGATCACAATTTTTTTAGTAACAACTTTTTATATTATGATTTTGGATTAACACTAAATTATACTTAAAACTTAACTACTTAACTAAACAGTGATTAAAATCACTATCATAAGAAACGCTTCAAGGTAAATCTGTAGGTATTTTTCAATTTTAAGAAATTAGTGAATTATTCCAAAAGCAACATCAAATCCTATTTCCTATATTATATCTTAATTAGACGTTCTTTGATTTAAAAGTATAATATATAGTTAAATACTTAGTAATAGAGTCTTGACTAGGGTCCACGTTTCGAGTCGGGTCCATGGTGGACCTGATGTTGAGGAGCCGGGAGGCGTGGAGGCTCGTCCAGGTGTTCGCCGAATCCATCTTGAAAAAGAAGGAGGAAGCGGAACGCCTGAGACAGAGGCAGCCTCGCCGCCCGGCACAGGAGGACCTGAGGCGCTGGTTTAGGCCGGCGCCTTAGGTATTCGTGTTTTATGTTTTTATGTTTTTGTTTCGTGAGTTATTTGTGCCCCCTTCGCTTTAACGGGGGAGGCCACACCACGTTGTGAATCAGCTCTTGATTAATTTCGGGCTGATTCACAACGTGGTGGTGTGAGTTTTAAAGACGGCGTGGGCCGCCCTGAAGTAATACCTAACGGTAGTTCCAGGGCGGTCCACAACCAAGCCGATCGGAGGAAAAAAAAAAAAAGTCCCTCCACGGGTGAGTTTCCTGAAGCACTTTCCTTCTGAGCTAACCAGCTGGCATACTCGTATGCGTCCACTGCATCTCCAAGACCCGTGCCTGCGGCGACAAGAGTAGGGTTACTCTTGTGCCGGGACAAGATCTCGCTGAGGGCGAGCTTGGCGGCTATTAGTTATTTTAGTTAAAGTAAATATTAAAATTAATTCAGTTCATATTTCAATTGTAGAATCTTGTTAAACACCAAAAGTTACTCTGAAATGATTACTATTATTTCTATTTAAGTTATAAATACGATAAAAATGCAAAAAAATATTGAGCTTTTCTGATAAATTTACTATAAATAGTTCTCATAAAATTTCCTATTGAATGATCTTAATTTCAAAATTTCAAATTAAGCTAAAAGTTATGGTAATAAATTCATTTTTTTGTTTTATTATAAACTTTCACTTTTAAGGGCAAAAAAAAGTAGGTTAAAAATTATTACTTTTAACATATTAAAAACCAATAATAATTTCAAAAAAATTAATTATAAAAATTATATTATATATAATTAAAAGAATTACTAATCTAGTTATAATTGAGGGAATAGATGTTGATGTTGCTTTTGCAATAATCCACCAATTTCTCTACATGAAACACTATCTACAGATTTGTATCGAAGCGTGTTTTATGATAATGATTTTAATCACTGTCAGATTAAATCTATACTGGACCCAACTATGCCACGTCCCTACTGTTCCGCGACCACACTGTGTTGGTTTTTTTATTGTCATTATAAGTAAAAAAAAAAACGGTAGCACAGTGGGGTCGAGACACAGTGTAGACAAGGCATAGATAGGACAAGTATAGATGATATTTGACAGTGATTAAAATCACTATCATAAGAAACGCTTCGATGCAAATCTGTAGATAGTGTTTCATGTAGAGAAATTGGTGGATTATTGCAAAAGCAACATCAACTCTTATTTCTTTGATTTTAAAATTTAATATATGAATAAATACTAATTATAATTATTAAATTTAGTATGAAAATAAAAAAGTAAAAAAATTTAATAAGTTTAATTTCTTATGACTTATGACCTTTATTCTATGTCAATTAAATTATATAATATTCATGAAAGTCAATATATTCTCCTAATAAGATATTTTAAAATAAAATAAAATACAAAACCTAGAATTTTAATAGAAAAATAGCATATTTTTGAATACGGTAGCCATTTGCGCATAGAAGATAGGTCGTCGGAACAAATTTTTTTTTTCTTTTATAGTGCATAAAATAAGCTTTAATTTTATATATGTTTAAAGGACGCAGTATTTCTGGAACACTTTTAAAAGTTAAGTTGAAAAAGTTCTATTTTTTATACAATGTTTCAAGTTTTGAACACCCCCTATATATGAGGAAATTGTCCAATTTTAATAAATAGTATGTCAAATGAAAGATGTACTTATAATGTATTTAGAAAAAAAATGTGTGTTGATAATTACATTTTTCGAAAAGTTATAGCACTTTTAAGTTAAGTAATTTAAAATCGATCATCGAAAATTTTAACGCAAAAATAGCGTTTTTTTTAACTACGGCAGCCGTTTACATGCAGAAGATAAAGTGTCGGGACAAATTTTTTTTTTTCATTTTGTAGTACATAAAATAAGCTTTAATTTGATATATGTTTAAAGGACGCAGTATTTCCGGAACATTTTCAAAAATTAAGTTAAAAAAGTTAGTTTTTGTAAAAAAGTTGCAATTTTAAATCCCCCCCCAATGAGCAGGTTAAGTGTTAGATTTTCAAAAAAATGATATCAAATGAAAGGAAAATATCTAAGGTTTTAGTGTAAAAAAAAATTATGTTGATTTGTTGATTTTTGAAAAAGTTATGAAAGTTTTTAGAAAACAAAGTGAAAAAAATGACAAAATTTACCGATTTTTAAATTTTTTATTTTTTTTGGATATTTCCCCTATTTGCGGGGAACGAGGGAAAATTTTTCAATTTTTAGAGTAATGCCTTCAACTAGATACGAATTGTGATCTTTTGACCTATTGTTGAAAGTAATCGGTCCAGTGAGAGCTGAGAAAAAGTGGCAACACACATAAAAAAAAAAAAAAAACGCATCATAGTAAAATTAATACTTTCTCAGCTTAGCATGGAAGCTAATATTTTAATTAGTCAACAAATGGAAGCATGATTAGAGTACGTTTAAAAATAACTTAATCATAGTTTAGGTCGAACTTAAAGTATTATTTTAATTTCTTCATAACATTAAAAATAATTAATGTGTAATTAAATTGTTTTTATGTTAATTAAATAATATATTTTACTAAACGTTTTAATAATAAAAAATGTGTAACTAAAGTTATGAAAAAAAAAATGTTTAAATTATTATTATTCTGCAAGTAATTGAGTGGGTTATGATAAAAAAAATAGTAGAGACATTGCATAGTAGGGTCCAGTATAGATTTAATCTGACAGTGATTAAAATCACTATCATAAGAAACGCTTCGATGCAAATCTGTAGATAGTGTTTAATTTTAAAAAATTGATGGATAATTGCAAAAGCAACATCAACTTCTATTAAAATAAAATACAAAACCCATAATTATCATACAAAAATAGTATATTTTTCAATATGGTAGCCATTTGCGTATAGAAGATAGATCGTCGGGACAAATTTTTTTTTTTCATTTTGTAGTACATAAAATAAGCTTTAATTTTATATATGTTTAAAGGACGCAGTATTTCCGGAACATTTTCAAAAATTAAGTTGAAAAAGTTATTTTTTGTAAAAAAGTTACTATTTTAAATCCTCCCAGTGAGCAGAATAAGTGTTAGATTTTCAAAAAAAATTATATCAAATGAAAGGGAAATATCTAAGGTTTCAATACAAAAAAATATTATTTTTATTTGTTCATTTTTGAAAAAGTTATGGCAGTTTTAAGTACAAAAAACATCCCGATAAAATGTAATTTTTATCGCAAACATTACATTTTTTTTTAAATTTTCGACAGCCATTTGCACATAGAAGATAAGATGTCGGGACAAATTTTTTTTTTTCATTTGATAGTATATAACATAACCTTTGATTTGATATATGTTTAAAGGACGCAGTATTTCCGGAACATTTTCAAAAGTTCAGTTGAAAAAGATCTATGTTTTTTACAATATTTTAAGTTTTGAACGCCCCCTATATAAGGGGAAATTGTCCAATTTTAATAAAAAGTATGTCAAATGAAAGATGTACTTATAATGTATTTAGAAAAAAAAAATTTGTGCTGATATATACATTTTTCAAAAAGTTATAGCATTTTTAAGTTGAAAATTTAAAATCGAAAATCGAAAATTTTAACACAAAAATAGTGTTTTTTTAACTACGGCAGCCGTTTAAATGTAGAAAAAAAAGTGTCGGGACAAATTTTTTTTTTTCATTTTGTAGTACATAAAATAAGCTTTAATTTGATATATGTTTAAAGGACGCAGTCTTTCCGGAACATTTTCAAAAATTAAGTTGAAAAAATTAATTTTTGTAAAAAAGTTGCCATTTTAAATCCCCCCCAATGAGCAGGTTAAGTGATAGATTTTCAAAAAAATGATATCAAATGAAAGGTAAATATCTAAGGTTTTAGTATAAAAAAAAATTATGTTGATTTGTTGATTTTTCAAAAAGTTATGGAAGTTTTAAGAAAAAAAAGTGAAAAAATTTCGAAAATTAGCGATTTTTAAATTTGTAATTTTTTTGGATATTTCCCCCATTTGCGGGGAACGAGGGAATTTTTTTCAATTTTTAAGGGTAATGTCTTCAACTAGATACGATTTGTGATCTTTTGACGTATTTTTGAAAGAAATCGGTCCAGTGAGAGCTGAGAAAAAGTGGCAACAGACATAAAAAAAAAAAAAAAAAAAAAAAAAAAAAAAAAAAAAAAAAAAAAAAAAAAAAAAAAAAACACATCATAGTAAAATTAATACCTTCTCCGCTTTGCATCGAAGCTAAAAATTTTAATTTTAATAAGTAAAAAATGAATAAACTGTTTTCCTCATATAGCAATTAAATATGAGGAAAACGATGAAATTTGGGAATATGAAAATAATACGACGAGAGAAGCAGCTGCCAATGGAGACTTGAATGGTTTAATGTATGCTCATAAAAATGGATGTCCTTGGAATGAAAGCACAACAGAAGCAGCTGCTTTTAATGGTGAATTAGAATGTTTAATATATGCTTATGAAAATAATTGTCCTTGGGATGAAAGCACAGCAGAAGCCGCTGCTTCTAATGGTGAATTAAAATGTTTAATATATGCTCATGAAAATGAATGTCCGTGGGATGAAAGCACAACAATAGCAGCTGCTTCTAATGATAAAACAGAATGTTTAGAGTATGCTCATAAAAATAAATGTCCATGGGATAGAAGAACAACAGCATCTGCCGCTTTCTCTGGTAATTTAGAATGTTTAAAATATGCTCATGAAAATGGATGTCCGTGGGATGAAAGCACAACAATAGCAGCTGCTGCTAACGGTAAATTAGAATGTTTAAAATATGCTCATATGAAAAAATGTCCATGGAATAAAAGAACGACAGAAGCAGCTGCAAAATATAATAACTTACAATGTTTAATATATGCTCATAAAAATGGGTGTAAATGGGATAGAAAGAAAATTATATCAAGTGCTATTGAAAATGATAATCTAGAAATGTTAAAATATTCTTGCGATGATTTAAGTGAATTGAACGAATACCTTGCTACTATTGCTGCTTCTAACGGTAGTATAAAAATTTTAAAATACGCTCATAAAAATGGATTCTATTGGGATAAAGAAACAATAGAAGAAGCTGCTTCTAATGGTAAATTAGAATGTTTAAAATATGCTCATGAAAACGGGTGTCCGTGGGATAGAAGGACAACAATACAAGCTGCTGTTCATGGTGAATTACAATGTTTGAAATATGCTCATGAAAATGGATGCCCGTTGGATGAAATTGCAGCAATAGGAGCTGCTGTTCATGATAAATTGGATTGTTTAAAATATGTCCATGAAAATAAATGTCCATGGGGTGAAAAAACAACAAGAGCAGCTGCATCATATGATAGTTTCGAATGCTTAAAATATGCTCATGAAAATGGCTGTAAATGGAATCCAGTCGATATTGCAAAAATTGCTATTGAAAAAGATAATGTAGACATTTTGAAATATTCTTGCGAGCATTTAGTGGAATATAGAAAAGTATTCATTACTCTGGCTGCCTATTTAGGTAGTATAAACGTTTTAAAATATGTCCATGAAAATGGATGGCCGTGGGATGAAATAACAACAGAAGCAGCTGCTTCTAATGGTAAATTAGAATGTTTAAAATATGCTCATGAAAATGGATGTCCTTGGGATGAAAGCACAACAGAAACAGCTGCTTCTAATGGACATTTAGATTGTCTAATGTATGCCTATAAAAATGGATGTCCGTGGGATGAAAGCACAACAGAAGCAGCTGCTTCTAATGGACATTTAGTTTGTCTAATGTACGCCTATAAAAATGGATGTCCATGGGATGAAAGCACAGCAGAAGCAGCTGCTTCTAGTGGTAATTTGGAATGTTTAACATATGCCTATGAAAATAAATGTCCGTGGAATGAAAGCACAACAATAGCAGCTGCGTTGAATAGTAATTTAGAATGTTTAAAATATGCTCATGAAAAAAAATGTCCGTGGAATGAATTGACGGCAAAAGCGGCTGCACAAAGTGGTGATCTAAAATGTTTAATATATGTTCATGAAAATGGTTGCAAATGGGACGAAACCACAACTAGTGCTGCTGCAGCAAGTGGTAGTTTAGACTGTTTAAAGTACGCCCACGAAAAAGGATGTGTTTGGGATAAGAGTACAACCAAAGCAGCTGCAGAAAGTGGCTGTTTTGAATGTCTAAAGTACGCCCACAAAAATAAATGTGTTTGGGATGAAACCACAACTAGTGCTGCTGCATCAAGTGGCTGTTTTGACTGTTTAATGTATGCCTATGAAAATGGAAGTGTTTGGGATGACAGTACAACTAGAGCTGCTGCAGCAAGTGGCTGTTTAGAGTGCTTGATATATGCTAATGAAAAGGGATGTAATTGGGATAAACATACAATAGTTGCTGCAGCTGAGAATGGAAAATTAAATTGTCTTAAATATGCCCGTGAATATGGATGTGATTGGGTTGAAGGTACCACGAAAGCGGCTGCAGCAAATGGACATTTAAATTGCTTAATGTATGCCCATAAAAATGGGTGCGAGTGGGACGAAGGCACAACAAGAGAAGCTGCTTCTAATGGTAAATTAGAATGTTTAAAATATGTTCATGAAAATAAATGTAAGTGGGATAAAGAAACAACAAGTGTAGCTGCTGCAAATGGTCATTTAGATTGCCTAAAATATGTTCATGAAAATGGGTGTGAGTGGGACGATAGCACAACAAGACTGGCTGCTGAAAAAGGTCGATATCTGTGCTTAAAATATGCCCATGAAAATAATTGTCCTTGGAGTAAAGGAACCCTTTATGGAGCTATTCAAGCTAATTGTCATTATATAATCGACTATGCTATCAGAAATGGTTGTTCCAGTTAATTTCCTGTGAACTAACATTAAATGTACTATATTCAACTACATTGCCTATTATTATATTATTTTAAAATAAATTATACTTGAGCTTTAATGTATCTGAGTTTGTATTGATTTTATTATCAGACTTTTTGCTATATTATTTTTTTCAGAAATACTATTTCTAAAATATAACCAAAATTCTGTGGTTTAATCAGTCGCCATCTTAGTACTGATGATTAACTGCATTGTTTATTAGATGGGTGACCATAGAGGAATTTAAAAGATACATTTACTTTGTACTTACTATCTCTCTCACCCATAATGAGGTTGTTTCAAGTCAACAGTCAGTGTAAAAATCCTGGATCATCATAAGGTAGAACTGATCAATAATAGATAGGATAAAAGTTTGATATAATATAAATGTTGAGGCCGTATATTGATATAAATATTTACTATAACGTTGCCAACAATGCTGAGGATTACGAGGTTTGCCACGAACTGATAATGCTTCGACATTATAAAAAAACCCGAATACATTTACTCCGACAAGTTATATAATTGGTGTGAGCCCTTAAAAAATATTTTTTTTTTTGAGGAAGAAAGAAGAACGATTCCAATTTTTAGACTTAAAATCTTTTTTGCCTCTCCTTATTAGTACCTATTATTATAACATTTAATTAATTGTAGTTTTCTCATTTATTAATTGGTAAAAAAAATATAGTAGTTACGGGTCACTGATGATGGGATTTGTCATTAAACAGATGTTTTATAAAGGTATTCTGTATCCCATTTTCTAAAACTGTCATTCCACTTCGTCTCATATGAAATCAAATAAAAATTTATGATTTAATATTATTTCATTGTTTAAAGGTGGACAACGAAATTAATTTAATCCAGTTAAGATTCGATTTTAAGATTGGTTGCAATTTGAAGAAACTTGAGGGACTAGTCTCCTAAAATTCTGTCATAGAATATACCGAAAATAAATAAATTGTATTTCTCGCTATATAGAAATATTTTTTAGTTTAAAAAATTATGTAATTAGATTTCCCAAATATTTTGTTGCAATACTCCTATATTCCAGTCCATTTAATTGACATAAAGCAGTTATAAGTTAACAGTGTACAATAGCTTATGTATAATCATAAAAAAACTTAACTCTTCTGTTAAGATAGTTAGATTTAAAATTAACTAATATGAGTTAAAAATATGTAGTTTAGAGTTTTCGTTAGATTCACTGAAAAAATAAAACTGGTAAAATTTGAGTACAATAAGTCAACCCCTTCACGTGTCTCAAAGAAAAAATATTATAATGTTCTTCTTGTGTTTCTGTTTTTCTAAATTTATTTTTGTCTAATTTTCTCCATTTCTTATACAATTTTTTTAATTTAATAACACAGTCTGAAGAATACTGTGTAGAAATACGCGCTTTTCTACAAAATATTAAACACTCATCTATTACAATTATTATTTTATTGTGTTTCTTGTTTTTTTTTTTTTTATTTAATATAATAAGTGAAGGGGTTGACTTATTGTACTACATATTTTTAACTCATATTAGTTAATTTTAAATCTAACTATCTTAACAGAAGAGTTAAGTTTTTTTATGATTATACATAAGCTATTGTACACTGTTAACTTATAACTGCTTTATGTCAAT